CGGGGGGCTCTGCAGAAACTCAGGGCAGTGTGGAACAGACTGCAGAGCCCTGTCTTCAGGTCTCTGTGGCCTCCCCCTGGGCTGTTCTCTGCCGTCTTGCTCCGTTTTGTTCACACCACAGATGCCCTGCTGTTATCTCACTCATCATACCCTGGGACATTGGCAAAGGAGTCCCCAACCTGCCTTCACTGCTGAGCCCTGGGGAGCTCCTCTGGACATGGTTGGTGGGGCTGGCCCTTGGGCCATTCCCATGGTGCACTTGAGAGGAAGAGGGGAGGAGAGATAGTCTGGTCTCTTTGGAACAGATTAGACATGTGAGGTGGTGCAGGTAGAAGAAGGGATGCTTTGCCTCTGGGGCAGAAATCCCATTGGCTTTGGGTCTCTAGATCCTTATGCTCTAAACTCTCAACCCTATTCATATACCCCTTATTCATGTAATTATTAATCTCTGCTGCTTTTTTTTTTTAAAAAAAAGAATTATTAATTTAATACTTTTATTTTAAAATTTGCTATAGGGCACTCATGAGAGAGAGAGAGAGAGAGAGAGAAAGAGATCTGAAAAGTGAGAAAGCAAGCCTCCAGGTCTGGGACTCAAACTGCGGCCCAATCATGTGGGAGTCCAGCACCTCAACCACCATGCCACCTGCTGGCCCCCATCTCTGCTGTTTCTTAATGGGCTTATTGATTGACCCTTTCTTCTCTGCCTTCCTTCCTTGCTTTCTGTCACCCAGTAAATAGAGCTTGAGCCCCACTGTGTGCCAGACCCTGCTCCAGTGCCGAAGTGGGAGCAAACAGACCTGCCTGCGTGGAGACCTGTCTGGGGGACAGGGAGAGTAAATAACCACGAACCAGAACGTGCCAGGCAGCAGAGTGAGTGCCGGCAGGGAACATTCGGAGCATTTTTACCAAGTGTAGATGAGGAAGCTGATCAGGGAAGGATGCCGGAGGGTGCAATGGGGACCTGAGATGTGAGGGTGAGGAGGAGGTGGCCAGCCAGCACAAAGGAAGGTATTCCGGGCAGAGAAAGAGAGCATATGCAGAGATCCAGCAGGCAGAGTGTGGCTGCGCTCTAATTTATACTTGCTAGCAGGTTTTACCCAAATTGTATTTACCCAGGGCCTGACTGACCCTGCACATACGGGAACTTACGATCTGAGGGGACTTCAAAAAGTTCATGGAAAAATGGAATTGGAATGTGAGTTTATTTTGGTCAAAAATTTGAAATCCATGCATAGCTTTTTTTTTAATATACTTTTTTACGCACTTTTTGTGCTCTTGTTCAATGAACACGCTACCACACGTCACAGGGATGGGGTGGGTTACTAAACCTGCTATGGGGATTATTGGTCCACTCTTTGGAGGAAACTAAAACTGCATCTTCAGTTCTGCCTACAAAGGTGGAAATTAGATGAAGTACGTTTTATTTTTATTTTTTTGGAGATGTTTTTACTATAGGGCACGTGTGCTCGCCAGAAATACAGAGAGACAGAAAGCGAGAATCACCCCCCAGGGGGGATGGCCATGCTGCAATCCCTTCTCCTCCATTCTCCTCTCGGGATCTTGGGCGCACACACACTCGTGCCCAGAGTGAGTTGAAGCCACTGGGTCCAGAACGTAAACTGCAGTCGACTACATGGGAGTCCAGCAACATAGCCATTACACTAACTGCTGGTCCCGAAATTAGATGAACTAAGGACCGTATGCAACAGTTTGGGAGGAAACGTTTGCATGGACTAAAACAGACCAGGGTCCACTTTCTAGGGCATTCCAAGAATGCTGACACGTGGATGAGGAGAAGAGAGGAAACTGATGGGAAAATTAGCAGTTTATAAACAGAAGAGCTCAACAGGCCACAAACACACAAGCTTGGTGCTTGTTTTTCTTTTCTCCTTCAGATGACTCACTTTATAATCTTCTATTCCCTCTTCTCTGTGTTTCTGGATTAAAACTCAATAGTACTGTAACTTTAGAGTTTTTTTTTTTTTTTTAAGATAGGGTGAAGAGACTTGGGGAGGACTTGGGATATTGCCGCCCGCAACGCCTGGCAACTTCCAGAGACTAGCAGTAATCTGAGTTGGCCACCAGGTGGCGCCTTAGCCCTCCCTAGCTTAGAACTCTCCTGAAAGAAGATTTTCTGGACGGTTAGGCTCAGTGTTAGTGAATAATTAACAACCAGCCAACTTTTGGAACTGCCAGCCAGAATGAGTAAAATATTCTCCTTATGTCTGTAAGGTCCAGGAGCCTAAAGCTCTGCTTTCGTTTGCAATTCTTGAGTATTTCTCTAGTAATTCTTCCTCAAGAAGAATTTCTTCTGAAAGAGCCCATAGGACACTGGAAGCCTTAAAGGGTTCAGAAAGGGATTTAGAGCTTCCATGGTTTATGGGCAGCTGCAATGGCCTGGTCACGGAGTGAAGGAAATGCAGAGGGGGAAAAGTGGCTGCCTTCTTCACACCTTCGTGTGGCTGTGCACGCCTTCCCTAGGCTCTGTTCTGTTTCTGGGACCTCACAGCATTGTTGTAGGCTTGAGCTATCCTGGGGTTTTCAGAAAGGTGTAGATGGGTCTGAGATACTGGGTTACCTCAGCAGGTGAGACGAGAGTCTTGCGCCTCGCCCATCCTTCGGCCAGTGGTATCTCTTTGCTGGGGGTGTTCTCTGCTCAGCTCAGGAGGGCTGGGCAGGCTGGTAAAATGAGGATGTCTCTGGCCTAGAAGCTTCTCTCAACCAATAAATGATGGAAGTGGGTGGATTAACTCTCCAGCTGCTTGCCTTTGGGAGGGTGAGTTTCAGGGTGTTCTCACAGTCCCTGAGAGGGTCACCTGCAGGATGGAACCCCTGTCGTCCCTGAGGGTAGTCTGTTCAAAAACACACCCTGCTCTCTTCCTTCCCCACGCCCTCACTCTGGCTTCCTGGGACCACTTTTCAAATAAACTGCTTGCACCCAAATTTTTGTCTTGAGGTGTTGCTTTTACAGAGTCCAAACTAAGAGGGCAGGAGGATTACCTACAGTTGATGAGCAGCTCTGATGTTTTCAGCATGCAAATTGTAAGAGAGAAGAGGAAGCAGACGGGAAAGGGAGCCCACAACCCCCAGCTAAGAGCTGCCCCTGACTCTTAATTTTGCAAGCAGTCATTCTACAAATCCCTTGGCTCAAAATCCAGTCACCTTGGGCGTGCAGAGCTGTCAAAACTATTTTGAGGACAACTGTGAAAGAGATTCAGGTTGGAATTTTTTAGTTGCCTTGCCTCCCATGCAACCCAAGTATGAGCCAGGCTTATAAAATATTAACAGAGTGAGAGTGTCTCCCCTGAGCTCCGAATGGCTCCTGACATTTGAATGCCTGCATTTTGGAAGCACACGGAAGTAGAGAGAGCTGAAACCCAGGGGCAAAGCTGCCTCTATTTACATTTCAAACCTCCAGATGTGGTCTTTTGTGAAATTCAGCACCCAGCTCCCTGAGCTTCTCAGCAAACAGTGCCAGAGAGGTTAATGGTGGGTTTGTGTAGGCTGCTTTTGTTTTATTTAGGTCCCTGGAAATGCAAATATCAGCACAAAATAGGTTTATGGTTCCATTAAATTGCAAGGGGGGAAAAATATCAAGACGGTTGTTGTTAAAAAAAAACACCAAAAAACAAAAAACAAGAAAAAGAAAAACAAGGTTGGGTGACTCAGCCTGTATAAATTAAGAATTAATTTGATGAACAGCTTGGACTAAGCGTGGAGCCAACCCCATTCTCAGGTTTCTTGTTGAAAGTTTATAAATCTGTTTCTGTCTTTCTGTTTCTCTTTTCTTTTTTTTTGT